ATTTCCTCATTGTCTGCAGTTAACTTCAACTACAAAACTTCCATAGCGGACAAGTTAATTGCCTGCTGTTGAGACACTTTTATTAGCTACTCATACTACCTCACATTTGCTTGTTACTTTCCCTATTTGCTTTCTCATTAAGTATTGGTCGTCCGAAGCATGTGCGCGTTATGGCCGGCGCAATTGAGGGCGACGATTTCATTGGCCCACGAGCAGAAGAGCACCGCGGCCTGCTAAGCATTCGCTATCCCGTGGAGCATGGCATTGTGCGTGATTGGTCCGACATGGAACGAATTTGGGCCTACCTTTATAGCAAAGACCAGCTGATGGTGAACAGTGAAGAGCATCCGGTGTTGTTGACAGAGGCCCCCCTTAACCCCAAACACAATCGGGAGAAAATGGCTGAATTGCTGTTCGAGACCTTTTGTGTTCCCGCGCTGTACATATCAATGCAAGCTGTGCTCAGTCTGTAAGTCTGCCTTCAGCATACGTCCATATAACCTGAACTCTTCCTCAACTTCCATGTTCTTTCTTATTGTTTCCATCTTTCTAGTGCTTATTTAGAAGCGTTGTATCCTCATGATCTTGCCCGATGTTATTTTGGGGACCTTGGAAATAGGAAGCATTGCGGACTATTTTCGTTTGCATAAGTTAATATTTTCTCTTAGCGACAAGTCCGTTTAGGTGTTCAGGGTAGAATGAAATCAGTAGGTTTTGTTCCGCCTCCAGGTAAGCGCAGTTCACTCTTTGTTCTATGCCGTCGTTAGAAGCTCCTAACTAGGTAGCAGACCTCCCGTTTTTCCGAGCGAAGAATAAGGCATGCAGATTGCCGACAGAAAACATGGTAACCGTAGTTAATTTATTTTCCAAACCCCATCCTCTAATGTTCACAAACAGGTTTCTTGGTAGTGCTCTTTATTACTCAGTGATCCTCAAATAAATTCTGTTGTTTTCGGTATAATCCACTCACCGACAAAGAATAGGGGGACGGGCATGACCATTTCCGATTAAGTAGGCTTCATCAGCCAACCATACCCCATCCTAGGTGTTGCAGCACCTGAGGCTCGAATCCGCTACCGGTTTCTTAGAAGTCAACCAGCGTAATGATTACGCCACGGGATCATTGTCCTGTCGGTTTCGTTCGAAAATGTTTACACTGGTGGGCAGGCGCTCACCGTTGGGTTGCGAAACTCACGGGTCCCGTTGTGCCTTGGGATCCACGCTCGAAACCCGCTAGCAGTCGCTCAGCAGCTAGTGTACTTGAAGCCGAAAGTCGTGACCGACATGGACAAGGGAGACTGAAATAATCATGTCAGGTTTCTTAGCCGTCATCACAACGGTTTGCGCTGGCGTTCAACATTCCTCAGCCAGCAGGGTGTCTCGTTATTCGGTTTTAGTGTTCTGTGGTAGAAGTTGCCGCTATCCTAAAAGCCAATATTTTATCCGATATAATTGGAATCCCAACTTTAAAATTAACCCTAGTCCCCTGAATGGGGTGGGGG